CAGTTCCTCTAATGTCCTATAATTTTGTCATAACAGTTCTGCTTAAAATTTTATAAACTACACATTCAGGCCCCAAAGCCTTTCTGGGACATGGCCTGCGTTCTCTTCTGTCATTTCGGCTTGGCCCACTCTGGATAGGGGCCTACCCAAAGAGGTGAAATTCTCAGTCCTGTGGAAGGTCACGGTTCTTCTGAACCATGGACACAGAAGGCCACCAGGTGTCCCTCGACGCCTATCATCAGGTGCGCAGACACCGAGCCCTCCCCACCAGCCTGTCCTCTGCTCACCCCTAGGACCTGCCGAGTCTCCCAACGCAGCAGAGAGGGTGTGTGGGGGAGCGTGGCCTCTCTAGTCTGAGGCCAGATGACTGCATCGTGCCTGGGGTCCCCAGGAACCTCCGCAGCCCCACAGGAGTGAGGTGGGGTGGGTGGGAAGGCCACAGTCTCTCCTGTGAGGTCCCGTCTTCACTTGTTGTCATGGAAGGTTCTGAGGTAGACCTGGCCCAGCCTCACTTGGAGACCTTCCCTGGGACACCAGGCCCACTTGCCACTGCGGCCCACAGAACCCCCCCCCCGGGCTGCGGTGCCACTCACACTGACCCCAGAGGCCTCCCGACAGCACTGTCAGGCTCTGCTTTTGCTCACACTTGACTTTCTGGAAGGCTGTGAGTTATTTTTCTTGGGGGACCGCGATTCTGCAGACCCCATGGACTCTCACTCCCAATAAAGATAATATTTAAAAAAATGTGTGAAAACCAGCTGACTGTGGCTCTCGTGTCCAGTTAGGCCTCTGCAGGGCCTTGGCCCTGTCTCCAGAGAGCCTGGCTTGTGCACACCAGTGTGCAGAGTGTAGTCTTAGAAACCTCACAGCGACCCCACTCTGGTCCCACAGGGTGGCTGCTGCTTGCTCCGTCCCTGTGCTCAGGGAGCTCACCAACTGGCAGGAAGGAGCATCTGTGCCTCTCACTGTGAAGTCCTAAGGAGCCCAGGTGGGTGGGACAGTGGCCTACGGTACCTGCCGCCATCTGCGGAGGATGGAGGGGGAGCAGTAGAGGCTGCCAATGTCCCTGTGTTCCTAAGAGAGCCAGCAGCAGGTCTAAATGATCAGAGCAAAGGACTCAAGTGCCGGGTCGGCAGCAGCCATGATGCAGCTCTGGGTGGAGCATGGGAGGGCAGGAGGCTACAATACCAGGCCAGCCTGGGGGCCTCCTCTCGGGCCAGACCCCTGAGCCCTAGCACCGTGTGGCAAGACTGAAAAATCACATTGCAAAGTTACGCCTTCAGCCTTCTCAGCTTCTCACCGTGCTCTCCAAGCCGCCCGGCCAGCTGGACTGAGGCAGCCCGGCCCACGACTTGGGTGGGAAGCAGGAGGGATCGGGTCCCCTGCCCATGAGGTTCCCTGTGGAAGGCCTCACCCTCCTACCTCAGAGCGTGACTGTGCTTGGAGACAGGCCCTCAAAGAGGTGATTACAGAGGCCTGGGGTCACATCATTCATGTGACTGGTGTCTTTACAAGAAGAGGAGATGAGGACGCAGACGCACTCGGGGACATCCATGTGAGGGCACAGGACAAGGCACTACTTACAAGCTAAGGAGAGGGGCCCAGAAGGAACCAACCCTGCCAACACCCTGATCCTGGACTTCCCGTGTAAGAATTGTGGAAAAATAAGTGTCTGTCACTTAGGCCACCTCGTCGGCAAGTTTTGTCATGGCCACCCTCGCAATCTCACCCAGTCCCCATGAGGAGGTGAAGGGAAGAAAGGACTTGGGTCCCTGGGTGGGCTCTATGGGGCCAGCAGCAGCTGGACACATGGCCCCAGGAGGAGAGGTGGCAGCCACTGGCACCCAGCAGAGTGCAGAGAACTGGCCTGTGTGGGGGCTCCCTCAGCCCTCAAGCAGGAGCTGGACGGGAGGACGTTGCAGCTGGCCAACAGGGTCCCAGGCAAGGAAGGCAGAGAGGTGACGGTGCCCCTGAGAGAGGTGTGGCCCCACCAAATAGAGAGAAGTCGAGAGCCAGGGCTGGCAGGTGAGGGGAACTGGTGCAGGCCGGTGCCTGGACTGCGTCACACAGCCCCAGATGGTGGCCAGGGGAGTGGGAGCTGAGGAGGGGCTGGGGGAGGCTGACCTGGGCAACAGCCGGTGGCCACTCCCGCTGCCTGCCTGCTCTCCCTCCTCAGGCCCTGCCCTGAGATCCGTCCTCAGGCAATGACTGTCAGGAGCTGGAGTCTAACTACCTCCGCTCCCTCTCCCTTGGGCTCCATAACTCTGGGGCAGGGGCCCACACGGGCTCCAGAGTCCCGGAGACTGAGCATGAGCCGCCGGTGCAGTAGCCCATAGAGGCAGACTCTTCCTCCCTGCTCATTTCCCTCTCCCCACCCATGTTTCAGTTCAACTAAACAACTGCCCCTGAACTCCAAGCTCAGGGGCTGTAACTGGAGTTTAAGGAAATATAACAGGTGCCTCCCAGGGATGGAGAGCTGGGACCAGAAGCCTGGCGCTGGCCTTTCTGGCCCCAGTTCTGGGCCTGGGGAAGAAAGGGGAGCCTCTGGGATCACACACTGAAGAGGTTTTGAAGTTGCCAAAGTGTCACATCATGAAGTCCCAACCCCACCACCCCGGCTGCTGGCGATATGCCCTTACTTTATCTGATGAGTCTGGCTTGGGAGAGGAGGGGGTTAGGGCTTGGATCTGGAATGACCCCCAAAGTCTCTTGGTGAAGGCCTGGTTCCCACCACAGCAAGGTTCAGAGCTGGGGCTTTAGGCAGTGGGTGGATCCCGGGGACCCTGACCTCATCAGTGGATCAGTTCATGGATCAGTCCATTGATGGGTGACTGGGCAGCAGGGAGGTAGGAGCCATCGGAGGAGGCGGTCGCTGGGGAGAGGTTTCCTGTCCCCCGGCCCTTCCTCTCTTTCTTCCCCTGCAGCTTCCTAGCTCCCATGAGTGGACGGCTTTCCTCCGCGGAGCCTTTCCCCCCTGACATTTCTGCCCTCAAGCCAGCTGCCTGTGGCTGCATCCTCTGACACGATGAGCCAGAATAAATCTTTCCTCCTCTAAGTGTCCTTGTCAGGTATTTTGGTCACAGTGACAGACACTGAGGGTAAACTGCCAGGCTGAGGTCATGGCTGCCCTGAGAGCTGGTGCTACCCACGCACAGGGCCTGTCTCGACGTGGAAGCCAGCCATGAGTTCTGGGGTCGGCTCCCGGCCCTCTGCTGGGTGAACGCCTGGACTCCTTGATGCCAGCCCCTCTAGTGCACCAGGAAACCCTGGCAGAGGGGAGGCTGGGCAGACACAGGGGCTCATGGTGGATCCAACCATGCTCGCCCTCCCTGAGCCCGCGAAGAGGGTTGCTGTCCCCTCGTCTCTGCCAGAGCTGCTCAGCCCCAGCCACCGTCAGAGCCACGGAACGGTCGCCATCATTGCTACTATTGCCTTTTTCTGGTTTTCTTTGATTTGCCCATTCTGGCCCTGGCCAGGGTCACAAGGGCCACCTGACTAGCATCACTGGGACCTTCATGATTTTTCCAAAGCACAAATCCTCTTACCTTCTCTCAGGGAAAGGGGTTCCATCTCCAGCACCACAAATAAAATAAAAATTTAAGAAGTGAGGACTTTGAACGCCACAGGTTCTCTCTCCCCAGGCTCAGAGGCCTCGTGGGCAGCGTCCAGCCACACTCTGAGCAACTCTCTCCCGTGCAGCTCAATGCTGGCTTGAAACCCCCTTGCTGCAGCAGAAGCTCCCAGCATGCTCCTCCCCAGGAGCCCGTGGGATGGCTGCCCCCATTGCACTTCCAGCTCCCTCAGGGGTGAGGCTCTCCTACAGACTCCATCCAGACGCTAAGCTGTTGCTTTCCTACCCACCTTGGTCTCAGGAGTAACAGGGATGCTTATGAGATTGTGATTTGGAAGAAAGGAAGGAAGGAAGGAAGGAAGGAAGGAAGGAAGGAAGGAAGGAAGGAAGGAAGGAAGGATGGTTCACAACTCCGAGTCTTCATGTGCACACGGGAGCAAGGAGTCTGCCCAGCTGAAAGTCCTGATTGCCACGGTCTCTGCCTGTGGCGACACGGGGAGAAGAAAACAGCAGCCACACCCTAGTGATGCCGTGTTCCACACTGCACAATGTGGCTGCAGACAGAGCTGCCCCGGGACCTGCCGCCCACCTCCGACAAGATACCAGCACTTGTCTTCTAACATCTCTTAGTTAACCCAGCAAAGGCAGAACAGAGGACGAGCTCTCTGGGTCCCTCTGCAGGAGACCGGGCTCCTCTGGCCATCTGTATGAACCCACTAAACAGCAGCAGCAGGAGGAGGTGTCCACTCCATCCAAATTATTCTTTGCTGCATTTGGACTCTCGGAGTGTCACTCTGATAGTGATACTTCGGTGACTGGAGCATCCCCTCTGAAACATGCAGATATCCCCAAATCACCTCCATTGGCCGATCAAACACTGTTCTGTTCACTCATTCCAAGCTGATTTCTATCATGGAACATGTAGTCCTCCCCTGAGCATCGCCAGCAGGATCGGGGTTCAGCAACTGGACTCTGCTTAGGTTTGACTCCTAGATCTGCCACCTCCCTGATGAGTGACCATAGGCAAGTGGCTCTACCTCACTGGACCTCAGCATCCTCAACAGTAGAAGGAGAAGCATGCACACGAGACTCCCCCTCACTGGGTTAGTAATCTGTTTAATCCCTTAAACCAGTCCCTGACCACAGTTAAGTGCTCAGGGGTCAATTCTTCTCTGGTTACTGCCATTATTCATAGCTGTTGTGCAGACTTCATAGAGAAGCTGGATTCCAAGTCCACGATCTGGAATCCAGGCAATTCCCCAACACCCTGCACCTGCCGGCTTCATGAGCACGTTCTGGAGAGGATGCTCGAGAACTGGCATCTGTGAGGAAGCCCCTCGGAGGCTTCAGGCTCCTCTGGACACTGTGCCAGGCAAGGGATGCCCCCTCCCCGGCCAGCTGCCTCCCAGGCCCGGGTGGTACTACTCACGGAGGTGGTGCGCGTAGCGGAGGTGGAATGCGTCGCAGCCGTGCACGTGGTGGTACAGCGTCTTCTCAATCAGGTCCTGTGGCTCATAGCCTGTCAGCTCGGTCACCCTGGGGGAGGACGGCAGCTCCGTGAGTCACACTGCTGTGCAGATTGCCTTTCATTTAAACTAATATTGGTTTTGCCAACTAATAAAGTGCTAAAAGGCTCAGGGGGGAAATGTTGATTTTGGAAACTGAGAGTGATCTTTTTTTACAAGAAGCAAATCTTTGAAGTCTCGCCCAATGCAGGATGTAGCACTATTTGTGAGCAGGAATGTTCTGAAACCCCTGGCTCAAAGTGTGTTTGGGATGGCTTAGGACTGCGGGCTTTTTCAGGGGTGAGCTTCTCTGAGGGCACATAGGAGTGAGCTTTGATACCGACATGGGGAGAAAGAGGCTATGATGACAGCAATCCTCTATTTCAGGCAGAGATCACGTTTTGCATTTTGTGGACGGGCACTTGGGTTGCTTAAATCTCCACTCCATGCTGGACACTCCTAATGGACACAGTTGATCTCTGGGACCCTGCAGTTGGGTGATTCCTACTAATGGGAATTATGGAAAACTGCAGATGTTTAAGCCTCGTATCACTAGAGGATTATCTCAGACCCCCCAGGAGCAGTGGGACATCTGAGGATATTGTGACTAGAGGGCAGACCCGAAGCTCTCCATAGAAATGGGAGCCTCTATCCAGTGCCTGTGGGACTCCACCCCTCTTTATTCTGACAAGCCCTGGGCAGATTAATTTCCCATTCCGGCTCTTTGAAGAACAGTCGCTGTCAGCATCCAAGACCACCTCCGCACTGAAGGCCTGGGGTGGCTCTGTCTGTAGGTGAAACTGCGGTGGCAATGGTCAGATTCCCCAGCTGCAGCCCCCGAGCTGGGAGCTGTGCCTTTAGAGGGGGTGGTCCTAAGCCAGTGTTGTGGTGACAGATATGCAGAGACAGATGAAAGAGGAGGACAGGAAGAGATTCCAAAGGCCGCGAGACTATGGTGAGAATCAGTCCTGGGGGCAGCAGTGAGGAGGGAGCACCCAGGAAGGCCAGGGCGCCCGGGAGGACCTACTAGGCAGGGTATGAAATATGTAAAATATGAACTGCAAATTAAACTGGGCGAGGACCTCACGACCATTCACGAGCCCGCTTCCCCTTCTGCTGAGCTCTGCTGGGGCTTTGGGTGGTAAATCTCTGGAAGCCTCTGAGTTCCCAGGAGGGGCTCCCTATTTGGTGTGCACATCCCCAAGGTGTTCCTACAAGGTGGGAAAGGAACGGGGCTTGAGGCAGAGAAAGGAGACTTTACTGCCTCCAGTCCGGTCATTCAGGGTTCAAGGGACTTGTCTAAGGGCCACCTAGAACTTCAAGCCCCATCGGAGTCAAACTCCACGTGGCAGGAAATTGAGATGTCTGGCTTCCCCCAAAAAGAAAAACAGACATCTCCACAGCGCGGGATGAAAGAGGCTTCTTAGCCTCCTCGACGTCAAATTATAGAACAAGGGCCCTGAACGTGTAAATGAATCAGAAACACATGTATCGAGTTTCTCATCAAAGTACATACTGGCTTTAAAAATTAAAGGGAAGGGGAAGGGCTTGGCAAGATGCCCTCCTGGTTTTTTCCAAACCTCTAGTGTCTGAAGACCTGTCACAGGGATCTGCCAAACCCCAAACATCGCTGGGTTCACCCATCCTTAGCAAAAGCTCCAGCTACAGTTTCAAAATGAAGTGCCACAAACCCCTAGGTGCCTAATGTCAGGTCATGCTGAGTTCGGTTTTGCCTGGGACCATCCTGAGTAGCATGCCAAGGGCCCCCTGAAGCCTACCACCCTTGCTCCTGTGACTTGAAGCCACTGGGCCTCTGGCCAAGCCCTTGCTGTGGCTCCTGGGGTTTGGACCAGAAGCTGACGCCTCCACCCAGCCTGGCCACTGCTGTCCCTCCAGTACTGGGCCAGCCCAAGCCACTATCCCCTGGCCCATAGGCCTTTCAAAAACCATAGGAACTGCAACCAAAGCAAGACCACAGTGACCTTGAGAGATTCTCCAGTGCACTTTGGCCCCTGAACCCCTCCTCCATGAAGGAGTTTAGAAAAGCCTGAGGCTTTACTAGAAGCTTCCTGATACTTAATAGGAAGTATTGCAGGGCTTAGGTAGGGACAGGAAGTCTCCTGTGAGTTTTTTTTTTTTTTTTCAGGGGGGAGAGGTACTAGGGATTGAACTCAGGGGCACTCGACCACTGAGCCACATCCCCAGCCCAATTTTTTGTGTTTTATTTAGAGACAGGGTCTCATGGAGTTGCTTAGCACCTCACTAAATTGCTGAGGCTGGTTTTGAACTCACAATCCTCTTGCCTCTAGCTCCAGAGCCACTGGGATTACAGGTATGCACCACTGCACCCAGCCTTTGAGACCTTTACCCTTTTTCTCTAGTTTCTCCAGGGGTGCAGCCCTTACAGGGAGCTTCACAGACCCTCACTGGTACCCCACAGGCCGTATCTGAGGAACTCGTCAGGAAGCAGCCCGTCTTCCAGCTAACCACCTGCATGCTTTGCTGGAAGACCCTCTGCATTTCACAGTGGTGTGGGCTGAACAACTTGAAAAGACTCCACATCTTCCCTCTGGGACACCCCTTCTTTCCTCTCCTAGAGAATTCACTGGAATCTCAGGGTGGTTTTTGTTTGTTTGTTTGTTTTTAATTGTCTGAGAAATATTAGGAGGCAAAACAAGGGAGAAAGTAGTTGGATCCTCCCTAGTTCCCTCGGTAATGACCTTGGACAGCCAATTTCCAGCCTGCTTTCACAAGTGATTCCTAAATTGGGAAAGAAGTCTCCTGTCACTGCATGGCCCTCTGCAGGAGGCAGCTGGCCTGGCCTCCTCCCCACAGGGGCTCCTTCTGCAGGGCAGGAAGAGAGCATTTGTCACCCTTGGGCCACCCTCAAAGGTGTCAGCAGCTCCCCCAAAGAGTCCTAGTTGCCCTTGGCTTGCAGTTTCTGTGACAATAATGGTGACTCTCTAACACCACCTCTTGCTGCTCCTCTGTCTTGGATGGTTCGGAGATACAATCATGGTAAGCTCAAGTCATTTCTGCCTCTACCTCCTGCCCCTACCTAGCTTTGTCTTTTAAAAGTAAAAAAGTAAGAATAACAAGTAGTAGCCAGGCACAGTAGTGCACACCTATAATCACAACTACTCAGAAAGCTGAGGCAGGAGGATTTCTTGAACTTCTGGTTCAAGGTCAGCCTGAACAACATAGAAAGACCCTGTATCAACAAAAAAAGTGGGGAATATAATCAGTAAATCCTAGCTTCAGGACACACAGGAAACAAAATGGATATATCCCCTCTCCTAGAAATCTCAGCCACATATGCCAAGTTAAAAGAAGGATCTGACAGCTCATTCCTGCCTGCACAGTCCAGGAATCTATGGGATGAAAAACAAGGTGGCCTTGCAGGCTCTGGGTTTGCAGCTGAGGCTCTGAGTTTTCTGTTTCTCATCTCTCATCTAATTTCATCCTTCTCTAGTCTTGTGGTAGCCAGTGCATGGACAGGTCTCTCATTTTGCAGATAAGAAAATGGAAGAGGCCCCACAAGCCAAAGCCTCAAGACCATACATGAGCGAAAACATCTCATTATCCCCCACAAAAATACAGTTATTACTTGCAAAAATAAATTTCAGCTAAAAAAATAATAAAAAGTACAAAGACTTTGAGGCCAGCAGCCTACCCTGGGAGAGACCTGAGGCCGCTCTGGCACAGCCTCCAGAGACAAGAATCGGTGTGCCTCTGCCTCACTCACGCTCCCTTCCCCCAGCCCGGACACAGGCAGGGCACCGGCTGAGCTTGTGGTCAAGTGTTCCCCCAGGGAAGGCGACCTCTCTGCTCCCAGCCTCCAGTCTGCCATGGCTGTGGGGGATCTGAGGGCTTCACACACTGCTCAGTGTGGAAACCCATTGGTTTTAAAATCCTACCGGCTTGGCGGAGAGACGAGACATATTTCTGATGTTGTGGGCCTTCAGAAAAGGATAACTTTTGCCCACAACACATATTCCCATTCCAAACTCCGCTGAAATGATTCAAATATAACTTAATTAATTAAAAGAAGTCCCAGAGTCCAAAGCTGAATTAATTCTTTCCATTCATGACTAGATTTCACTAAATCCCTTTCTAATCCACATTCTTAGTAGGACTTATTCCTTGTTATAGTTTGGCTTAACATCACGGAGCTCTCTGGGGCCAATTTCTGTCATCGGTATCTTCCAGAATGTCACAGCAGTGCTGTTGGCAGGTGCCACACTCACCTGGAATCCAGGAATATCAGCTTCAGATCGAGGCTGGCCCTGAACATGAACATGTTACTGTGCAGCTTGATCTCTGTGATGGCACTGGGAGGCAGGGACTGGCCCACCGCCACCAGCCCCACGATCTGGTAACAGGAGTCGTACAGGGACATGTCCAGCATGTACTGCCTGATCTTCAAGTAGCCGCTGCAGTGGATGACCTGGGGGATCAGAGGGCAGGTCAGCTGGCCGTGGCACCCACTCCTCCTGACTCCTTTCATGGAACGCCCCCAACCCAGGTTCTACCGAGTATGTGGCCAATATGCTGACAGATGCCTTTCTTAGCAGACAGTGTCACAGTAAAATATAAGGGCTGTCTTATTCTGTCAACCATGAGTAAGGAATGTCACAAATTAGGGCTTTCTGACATAGGATGAGTTTATATGTAAGGAACCCACTGCGAGTCGTGCTTAGAGAACACAGCAAGACCTTCTTAGAAGACAGCCATTTGTTTCACTAATGCTCGCTTCAGTAATTAAAATGCTTCCCACCTTCCTCTGGGACTGAATTTGACCTCTGCATCACTTGACATGCTCCTACACTCCAGTAAATTAAGAATCCTTTCAATAGATTTTTTTTAAATCTTCATTTTTATGTCTTTTAATTTCATGTATTTTAATTCAAGATCTTAATAATCAACAAGTCAGAGTGGCTATCTAGAAGGCTTCCAGTTAGAGCCAAAGACCATGTAGGCAAGAATGCACCAAGTTCAAACAGGAACCTCTGTACCACCTGGAACCTGATGAGTAGAAGCATTTATGCCAGTTAAAGTCGGTAACAGGCTGGGGCATAGCTCTGCAGGGTATAGCTTGCCTGGCCTGCACGAGACTCTGGGATCCAGGATGGCAAAAAACATATTAAGTCAGTAAAATCGTGCTAGAATCACGACCATCGTAACTGCAGTGGTACAGACTAACATTCTTAGCCTTCAAGTTCTCTGTTCAAAAACCCTTTCTCCAGGATCCCTCAAGGTATTCATCGTCTGTAGAGCTGGAAGAAATCTCCAAATCCTTGTAGTCTATTCTCCCATTTTACTGAACAGGGAGATGAGGACAAGATAGACAGGTGATGTTCTGCTGCAGATTAGACAGCTGGACAGTTAATAAGCAGCAGAAACAAGTCAAGAGCCAAGTCTCCTGAAGAATGTCTCGGGGAGAGGCCGGGCTGGTGGCTGCCCATCCTGGCCCAATGCGGCTTAGAGCCTGGGACAATTAAAAACAAAGGGAGCAGGGGCTGGGGGAGCAGCTCAGAGGTAGAGCTCTTGCCTCTGGGTGGCAGGCCCTGGGCTCCATCCCTAGTATGGCAAAAATAAAATAAAACAGAACAAATGAGGGGGTCGAGGTCCAAGGGAAGAGCTCAGAGTGAGGTGGCCGAGGAGGGCCCAAGGGGAAGGGTCAGCCTGGAATGGGGAAGGCACTGGGAGGAGCTGGGGGGAAGGAAGGCCCTGGGCTGGGAGGGGCTGGGAGGGGTGTTCCAGAAAGAGAGGACAAAGACACAGATGCCTCTTCTTCTCCCCACCCTCCTCCCTCCTCTTCAAAGGAACAAATGTTTCTAGAAAAGGCTCCTAGCTGCCTCCAACTGCAGAGTGACTGATGGCTGTGACCTCTCAGGGAGGACAGCAGAGAGGATCCTGGAGGCAGTGGGGAGCTCAGAGAGAGGACCGAGGGTAACAGGCTCCTGGGGCACAGCAGACTTCCTTAACCCACGTCAGCTACCTCTGACATTGTGGAACGACACTGCCAGCCGGCTCTGCAGGTCACCTGCTCCTAGACGCCCGAATTAGCCAGAGCAAGCGACCTGTCTGGAAGACGGATGAGGCCAAGGAGGAGCAGGGCTGGGCATGGAGGTCCCGGCTCCACAAGGCTCACCATCCTTCTCCCTCTCTGCTCCCCTCCTTGAGTACACAACGAGGACAGCCACCCTCCCGTCCAAGGGCTGGGGTGACTGTATTCACCAGACGTGGTACCTCAGAGCAAAGCTCTACTTGGCACCTAAGAATGGGCCCTGTTATCACTGTCAAGCTCATGATCACCAGCCCTGGATGATGGAACATTCCAGGGTAAGAGTGACATCTCTGTGCTCTGAGCACTCACTATGGCCCGGGGACCTTGCCCAGGAATGTGGATCCTCAACAGGGGCAGCTGCTACTGTGGGACTGTCCAGCATGCAAAGTGGAACTTGTGGGCACCAGGGCAAAAGTCTATCCTGAGCCACAGCCACTTCTGGTCTCGTGGGACGAAAGCCAGCCAGGCTGGACTATCCCTCTAAAGCACCAGCCCTTACGTGGGCCTCGGAAGCAGCCATGAGCCAGTCACTCGAGACCTCTGCCCTGGTGGGGATGACACGTTCGGTTCCGAGGCTTCCCTTCTGCAGACATCCTTGAGTGTGAGGCGGAATACCAAGTACCCAGTGCAGAACCGCGGCCAGCTCTCCGTCCCCCAGGGCCCTTCATACCTTGTATCCACTGCACGTCAGGCCTGCGTTTCTTTTTGCCAGGACGCACTTCATTCGGAGGAAGAAGGACCTCTCTATCTCGTACTCTGAAAGCAGGAGCGAGGTTCCATGGGCCACTGTCCCACCTGCTTCCCATCTTCCCCCCACACAGCATCATGAAATTCCCAGGGCCACAGTCAGAGGCCTGCTCCTCTGTGCCCCGACCCTGACCCTGAGACCTTGCTAAGGTCTGGGTGGGGAGGGGAGAGACTGGCCCTGTCCTGGTGTGGCTTCCACAGGTCCCAAAAGAGAGCAGCTCAAATCTCAGCCACAGCCTGGAGGCCAGCCTGGAGTCAAGGGCAGGGCCTGGCAGAGCTCCACCGGCCACCGTCACCTCCTAGAGGCCACAGAGTGGCTTGGCATCGGGAGAACTTCCTGGCAGTCTTGGAGTGGGTACCTGAGATACCATGAAGGCCCAGAAGAGTCTGACTCCCCTCAGGTAGCAGATGCTAAGTGTCAGTCACAGCGTAGGCTCTTTCCCTGGCAGAGGGGGCCAGCCACTCATACCTCCTACCAGCTGCACTGTGGGCGCTGGGTGCCGAGAACCACCGTGGCCAGAGCAAAGCTTTGGCCCGCATTTCTAGCCCTGGAAGGAGCAGCTCTTGTCTCCTCCACCTCCCCAGGGAACCCCTCACAGCTTAGCCAAGCCAGACCTTTCTTTCCTTTCTTTGAAAGGCCCTGTGCATAAATCTCTGTTCTCACTCTTGCAAACATACAGGAGTCCTCCTCTGCTTTAAAGGACACCAGCCCTCGGAGACAGCAATAGAGAAAGGCCACACCTCCGAGTGAGGGGCTGTCACTCCACTCTAAACAGACATTTGTTGGCGGTTAATAAGTTTATCTATTTATTTATTTTGTAAATAAATACAAGGCCCTCACACATGCTAGGCAAGTCTCTAGCACTGTGCTACATTCCCAACCCTTTTCCATTTTGAAACAGGGTTTCACTAAGTTGCTGAGGCTGCCCTTAAACTAGAGATCCTCCTGCCTCAGCCTCCTGAGAGGCTGAGATTACAGGCATGCACCATTGTGCCTGGTGATAAATTTATCATTAAAAAAGGATTGGGCCGGGCATGGAGGCGCATACCTGTAATCCCAGCGGTTTGGGAAGCTGAGACAGGAGAATTGTGAGTTCAAAGCCAGCCTCAGCAACTGTGATACATTGAGCAACTCAGTGAGACACAGTCTCTAAATAAAATACAAAATAGGGCTGAGATGTGGCTCAGTGGTTGAGTGCCCCTGAGTTCAATCTCCAGTAACCAAAAAAAAAAAAAAAAAGGGCTGGAGTGGAGCAAGGTCTTCCACCGTCCCTGAGGACACTGCCTCATGGAAGTCTGGGAATCGACTCAGAGGCCTCCTTGGTTTCCCCAGCTGGACAGGCCATGTGCTTTACCCACAGTCCTCCTGTCTGAACCAGACAGGTGTCACTGAGGTGTGGAAGCCCACGTCTCAAAAGTACCACCTGGTCTTACTCATCCGGGGGGAGGGCGCACTTCTCACACATTTCACCATAAAACAATGGGGTTCCATCCAGGCAGAAAATCTGTGAGTGAGAAGAGCACCGTGTGCTCGGGAGCCCTGCCCTGCACCCCTGGGCTGGCGCTGCAGGGAGTCAGCAGCTTGTTGCCTCTCCTCTAGGACTGCTCTCCACCTCAGCCTTAAACCCCACAGAAACGGGAGTAGACGGGCCTCACTGTACCCCAGCTGCACTTACTTTCATTCTTTCAACACTTTTCCAGAGGCTACAACACAGGAAGGGGAACATGAAACCCAGGGCAGTAGCAGAAGGCCACTGCCAGGCAGGGGGCGCCCTGTGCGGGGTTTTAAGCAACGACATGGTGTTCTGAGGAATTCTCTAGGACTCCTGCTATCTGTGTCCAGCTTTGAAAACAGGCCACAGTGGAAGAATTAGTCACTGTTCTTGCATGACTCTCTCGGCATCGTTTTTTTCATGTTGATTTAGACGCCATCCCATCCCAACGACTATCACAGGCTGTAGTTATAGTCGGGCCCGTCTTGTCTCAGAAGCTGGCACACCAGACTCTCTCCTTGGAAAGGAACAGCGAGATCAACTGCTGCTGGACAACTGAGCATGCGCTTCTGTGGTCCCTCCTCCAAGCCTGAGGGTAATCTTCCCCAGGAGGGAGCAATAAGAATGAAAGCCATATTTCTCCTCCATGGCTAAATATCCTCACCACTTTGAAGTCTTTTATTTGCATTTTGTTCCACTGGGGAATTGGGGCCCCACTGGGTACTATAGTCTGAGGCATAAGTGAGACCCATTAGCCTGCTGGCCTCTCTGAGCTGTCCACAAAGAGGCCAGGGTCCCTAGAAAACTTCTGTATCTTCCCAGCATTTGTTATGATTTTGTGATGCCCAGGATTTCTTAAATGATTTGTGCTATGGCAAAAAAAAACCTAGACCCCTGCTCAGAGTAACACTTTTAAATGCATAAAATAAAATGCATATAGTTACAAAACAAACCAACTGTGTAGGAAAGTAGTTATCCCAGTATTTAAACACATAGTGGCATACCCTGAACATGGATGTAAGTGTGCTATTTTATCACTACATTAAATAACAAGATTCAGTGGTGGCTCTCATGACTTCCAGAATTTTGCAGTAGCCACGAGCATAAATGATATGTTGAAATGTCCACCATGGCTACAAGGTAACATGAAAATAGCAAAGCCATTGTCCTCCTGCTCTCAAAATGGTTTACAGTCTGTGGTCATAGCAAAGGAACCGCTGTCACCCAGGGGAATTTCAGGTGTAGTTTTCCCTAGGCAGTTTCACAGCCCCCTGGGCGGTATCCTCAGAAGCTGCAGCCCAGGTCTAGACCCGTGAGGCTGCAACCTGCAATTCTAAATCACGAGCACCTTCGTCCCCAGCAGCACTGAATAGTCTTTGGCAGTAATGGGGGCTGGTTTAAATAATCTGGTTTAAAAGAGGCCAAAATGCACCTCCCACTTGATGGGGCCAAGTGTTGCCCTGGTAACCCCTAGACCTTGGCAGGTGTGGTAAGCCAAGCCCTGGGTCATAGTTAAGAACGTGGCCTTGTTTACTTTCACCTGGAGGAACTACCTTGGAGCAGGTGATGGTGAAGAGGCGGGTGGGCGGCGAGGACAGCCGTCATCTCGTCGTGGTCGGATGGATGGATGTACTCATAAATACTGTTGCCCGTGAGCTCCACCTGCAGGGATGGGAGGGGCAGAAATGTCACCGTCTCTCCAGGGTTGGCACCAGGGGAAAGTGCAAGGTGTGCCACATGCTCACACCCTGCTGGGGTCAGGACTGGAGTCTGCCCACGACCCACACCTGCATCAAACGTGGAACCTTTGCCTCCCCACAGCCCAGCTCTGAACTGCCTACCATGCCTGAGAAGCCAGAGGGTCAGGCCTGAGCTCAGAGCCGGGGAGGTCCGAGCAGGAAAGAACGCCCTGGAGGGGCCTTGGAGGGGCCTGGGCAGCATCCTTCAGACAGAGACAGCTCAAAATGGACTCCGACTCTCTGGGCTCTGTCCTGCACCCCCACTCACATGCTGCCTGCCTGAGATAGCCACTACGGCCCTACTGTGCTCCCTCCCAGAGCCACGTCCACTCCACCTCTCAGAGCTGACCAAGGGACCACGGGAGGCTCTACTCTGACAAAGCCCCTTTCTTCAGCAGCTCTGAACCGTGTGCCTCAGGCACTGCCAGGCCTCTCTCACATTGCCAGAAATGTGTCTCTGGCCTTCCTGGTCCAAGATGACTGTGCAAATTCTACAGCTCTGGCCCAAGGGTGCGGCTGTGTCTCTGTGTGACCTGCAGGAGGGATTGGGGCCACTCCAGCCAGCCACATGACGTGGTGGTTATTTCCTGGGGTTGCTACCTCAACACCAGGGTAACGCCTACTTCCAGACACGCCCCACAGGGGGGCCCCAGGGCAGCCCTCCAGCCACATCTGTGTCTGCCTGGACCTGGCTCTGCAGGAATGGGTGGTTCCAGAAAAACCCCACTACTGGGATATTTGCACAGAGGGCCCTGGTGGTCCAGTTCCTGACTGCGAGCACCTTTAGAATGTTCTCCCAAGCACGGATGCCACTCAAGGATATGCTATTGAGTCCTTGAGACCTGCACCCCTTCACAGATGGGCAAAGGCACAGAAAGTTTCAGAAACAGCCACCAAGGCAGCCTTCTGAGCACTGGGGCACAGTTCTGTTTTCAAGGCTCCTATTAGTAGAGTTGGGAGTGACAGATAAGGACAATTGTCAGTGTATCCCAGTATTGTTTGGAGGAGCATCAGGAAGAATGACGGTAATTTCAACGCAGCCAGTGGGAACCCCAAAGCCCAGCATGTGAAATAGTGCCCTTGGGAGGCAAAGGACCTTGAATGGGTTTGAAGAGTCTTCACAGCCCTGCCCAAGGGAGGTGTGACCCTAGGGAGCACAAGGAGGCTGTGGCCGTCCTGTGTCTGGCCAGGGCACATTTGGAGACTACCTGCTGTCAGTCAGGGGGCCATCTACGGAGAGGCAGCCCTGCAGGTGCCATGTACCATGTCCCACAGCAGCATAAGGCCAGCCAAGTGGCTCATTGAGAAGTTCTCCCGGGAGCCTCCGGGGCCCTCAGCTCTTCACTTGGAACCAAAGGGCCATGGAGAGATGAAGTAATTTATCCCACTCCTCCCAGCAAGTTCTCCTAATCTGTCAAGATGTGGCAAACTGCCTTCTTTATTCAGAAGAGGTTGTTTCTGGTCTGCTAAGTAATTTCATCCCCTCAAAAGGCTTGCATGGCTCCACTGTCTGCATTGTTCCTGGAGCACCTCCTTCGAATATGAGGCAAGCAGAGCACAGAGAGAATCCTGTTACAGACATCCCCCTGTCACCTCCTCAACAGCCACCTCCCGAATCGGGGCCTCAGCGATCGACCTCAATGGAGATTGGCCCATGTGAAAAACTTTTACATCATTTTGTTGGGGAAAAAAGAGAGAGAGAGAGAGAGAGAGAGAAATGAACCTTCTTCTTTCAAGTCATTCCTGTTACCCCTTAAAAGGTTTTAAATAAACCGGCAACATTTAAGCCAGCCACATGAGACAGAGCAGTCTCCTTTATCCTGACGGCAGCTATGGGGCACATTACAGAGTGCTATCAAAATGGGGAGTTTCGAGCTAAATACTAAAGGAGCTGGATTTTTAAAGTCATTATTTCAATGGCTTACTATATATGTGTTTATTTATATATTTATTTTGGGGGCTGGAGGCTGAACCCAGGACCTCAAGCAAGCTAGACAAGCACTGTGCCATTGAGGTCCAGCTTATTTTAAAATAATTATAATAATAATAATGTTTTGGTATTGGCCTGTAATGGATATCCTTATCCATGTTTTAAGGGGAAAAAAATGATCATTCTGGTTTGCCTGAAATTCTTTTTGAGAGAAAAAATAGTACTTTGTGGGGCTGGGTTGTAGCTCAGTGGCAGAGCACATGCCTAGCAAGTGTGAGGCCCTGGGTTCAATCCTCAGCACCACATAGAAGTAAATACATAAAGATATTCTATCCATTTACAACAAAAATAAAAAAAAATTTTTAAAATAGTACTTTACTAATGTCTCTGTTGAGAAACACCTTCAGGGACTTGCAGGAAAACTTGTATCTCTACTGTTTAGGGGTGGGATTCATGTTTTAATCCCCAAAACTTTTCATCTATTTCCAAAGTTCCTGTTCTCATCAGAGATTGGAGAACCAGGAGAGTCAAGAGGCAGGGAAGGAGGGCTTGATTTTCTGAGTTCTTGGGTCCATTATAAAACGGACAGGAAAACACTAAGACTGTCTAGGAAGTAAAACAGCCTTCAAATAAAGGAAATGTTTTTACAGAACAAATTCTGGAATGATAAAACAGTGCTGACCTTAACTCAAAATTATGGTTGACATGTGTTTCCTGTATTTATTTATCTATTCATGCTTTTCAATGCCGGAAGAAATGTGACTACCTTGCAGGAAAAAAAAAAAAATGTGTGTGTGTGTGTGTGTGTGTGTGTGTCTAGAGAAGGAGAGAGAGTTGTTGCCATAAAACTCCCTGGACTCGTACATCAGACTTATTAAAACAGAACTTCAATGTGATCCGTTATTATTTGTAGAACCCTGCTAACTACAAAATGAATGACTTTCCTACTAAGAGCTTTTTTATGTTTTGCTGAATAGCTTTTCCTCCTGCCAAGAAAGCTGCCTATGATAAATACAACACTAAAAGGGTATATTCTGTGGGGAAGGGCACAGTCACTCGGCACTGGGGAAATGCACATTACTCTGTTTTGGGTGTTTTGCTGAGTATGGTAAATTGAGCATTTAAAAATAAGATGGTTTGGGTTTCAGGGTTCAAGTTATGTCAACAAACATAAAACATCGTCCTTTCTCTTTATTTCAAAAGTGAAAGAATTTGGTCTTGTGCCTCTAACCTACACGGTTGCTGTTTGTATGATTGTGTTTCTGGTATCAGTCTCAAATATTACATTTTTCTTTATGTGTCTCATAAACAGCTATTTTATATGAAAATGTATACTAGTAACCTGAATGTTATACAACATGGAACTTTGGTAAAGAAATCTGAACCACAAGGATATTTAAAACTATATATAGCAGCTATACAGGGATTGTTTTTGCTTAAATATATGTAAAATAATTACAATAATAAGAACAAAAAAGGAATCAAATCCGTTGGTAAATGTTCAGTGAACGTTATGGATAAGAGTGCTTCCTGGCACTACTTTTCCAACATATTGAAATGCGTCTGTATGTTTTTGTGCCTGCAAACCTGACAGAATTCCCAGGTTGGATGCATCTGTTTTCTAATGCTCGGCCTCTGGACTAGGTGGACAAACTGTACTTTCTCTTATCTCTGCCGTTTTTAATACCATAGTTTAAGAACAATGACCTCTTGTTTACTAGCTTAAGATTTAAAAAAAAAATTCACTCTGTCATAAGACGTAGATTTTTTAAAATTCCAATACTGGTATTAAAAAAGTTTAATGAATCCTTTTTAAGCCTGGTGCAGCGGCACATGCCTACAATCCCAGCTACTTGGGAGAATGAGGTAAGTTCGAGGGCAGACTGAGCAACTAAGCAAGACTTGCCTCAAAATAAAATAAACATGGTCTGGGGGTATAGGTTAGTGGTAGAGCACTTGCCTAGTATGGAAGAGACTCTGGTTCATCTCCAGCATTTAAAAGGAAAAAAAAAAGGCTTTGGGTTTGAAGAATATAAAGAATCATTTTTACATCCTCAAATGTATAATTCAGGTATTTAGATAGTACAGATCAAAAGCAGGACAAAACAGAACAATTCTCTTCTGCTGTGAATTTTCACGCGATTATGGTAGAACTGATGGGGGAAGGTATGTTCCTATGACCCTCTACCAAGGAGTGTAACCTTGACTTAACATGAACCTCACTTAATGAGATAATGTCACTGAGAGTAATTGAAAGTTCTAGGAACACAGACAAGCACCATGTAAATATAAGCTATTACTACAATTGCTATTCACCAGAAAACCTTTTAAAGCATTACTCTGATTACTGGGTAAAATTTTACTAATATTTTTGTGTGCATGCTGGGGATTGAACCCAGGGCCTGGCACATGTTAGGCAAGAACTCTACTACTGAGTTCTATCCCCAGTCCGTAAGCCTATTTTATTAAGGTTTTTGGTTTGTTATATTTGTCCAATTCTTTGCTAGTAATGAAAATAATCTAAAGGGTGCAAAACATTTTTTAAAAGAGTATTTGGGTATTTGACATCCTATTCAATACTTTATTTTACTGTTTAAGTAAAGAAGACAGAAAAAAATACACATTGCAATTCTACCTAGATTTCCTTCTGTGGAGTTAATCATGAACAGAAGGCAGATCTAAGAGAAAAGTTTGTTGTTGCTTATTTAAACAGTTCACCGTGGAACACTCCCCAGCCACTGACCAGGGGCTCACACTGGCATTAAAGTGTTTTTGTAGCTGCAGATGGAGGCTAACACCCTCATCGAGGAATCAGAAAAAAAAAAAAAAAAAAAAAACAGTTGCCCTACATGATCAACTTGATTTATCTTTTTTACAATTGTCCTTTCACAGGCAACAAAGAAACTAAAGGAATCTCTACAACTTGCTTAGAAAATGGTCATACCTGGACTTTCTTCCCTTTTAAAACAACGATACAAAGTTGTGTTTTTTGCATATGATGAAAAGGAAACATCATACTTTTATGCTACCTCCATTTCCTCATGTGGAGTTAATCTTGACAGAAGGCTTAGTCATTACCTTTCCAATGTGTTGGTCATTCTTAATTATTGTGTTCATAATCAACAGAATCTTTTTCCCACATAAAAAGAGTCTGTGTGGGGTGCAGGGTAGGCTGGTAGGCTGAGCTGCCTGAGTGACAGATTGCTTAAGTTGTGCTCAGTACCTAACGATGTGCCCACATATTCCAAGTGACCGAGCAACCCTAAGAGGACTGTAGTTGCAAACTGTATTTAATGAAAGTGAGGCTGTCTGGCTTTTGTATAGCTCCCTATAATTCACAAATCACACAAAATGGTTATTCTGATCTGTTTCCCAGCATGATCTGAAAGAGAGACAGAGCAGGCACTACCATATTATTTAAAATATAACCCCAGGACATTAAGTTCCTGGATAGTTGAATTTATTTCCCATTTTGTTTTGACTGCTAGGGATCTCAGATATAAATTTAATACTGAAAAATAGTGGTCAAATTGATTTCTGTGATCATACACAGAAATACAACTTTATATCGTTGTTTTAAAAGGGGGGAAGGGCCAGTACTACCATTTTCTAAGAAAGTTATAGATTCCTTTAGCTTCTTTGTTCCCTGTAGAGAAGACAATTGTAAAAAAGATAAGTCAAGTTGATCATGCAGGGCAACTGGTTTTTTTCTGATTCCTCGGTGAGGTTGTGTTAGCCTCCGTCTACAGCTACAAAAACACTTTAATGCCAGTGTGAGCCCCTGATCAAAAATTTTTTTGACAAATCGTCTTAAAAGTATGTGAAATATGTGAAATGTTTTATCTTATTTGTGACAATAAGACTATCAAAAGTAAATTATAATTTTAAAAGGTAAATAACCCATAGATTAGGTCAGAAGTAGAAACCAGTCTAGGTGCAAGTAAATGGTTCTGATTAATTCTAAAAATGTAAAGTAATAAATTTCTTTTTTCTTTCCTTTCCATTTATTTGTGGGGGGTTGGGGGTGAGGGGTGGGCAGGGACTTATTCAGCTAAGCACATTCTCTACCACTAAACTGCTACAACCTCCAGTCCCATAGAAATAGTAAATTTAATCTTCTCAAAACATTTCTCAGTCTGTACACATATTTATCCCACGGTTCACATAGATGCAAGAGTCAAGCTTTGGAGGTTGGGGTTGTGGCTCAGAGGCAGAGTGCTCACCTAGTATATGTGAGGCGCTGGGTTCAATCCTCAGCACCACGTAAAAGTAAAATAAAAATATTGTGTTCACCTATAACTAAAAAATAAACATTTAAAAAAGAGTCAAGATTTGATAAACTATTTGGGATAGCAGGCCCCATAAGAGAAGAGAGAGTAAGAAACAACCTTCTAAACAATTTTAATATGCAATTTCCTTTAACAGACTTTGCATAGGAAACACATAAGCCCACTTGGATGTGGAGAAGGATGTGCATACATTGGAAGAGATGGCTGTAAAACAATGACAAGTTTTTTTTTTTTTTTAATGTACTGGCAGAAAAAGAAAAGGAATACACCAAACTCAGGTTCCCAAATTTGGTAATTTTGTTTTTCAATGAGAAAAACTCAAGTAACATTAATAGGCATGTTCCATTTGGGCTTAACTGTGGAGGAGGGTGGACAGAACAGGTCACTGACACGCCTTTCTGGAGCCCTTGTTCTGTCTCTGTCATTCATTGTAGTATGTCCTCACTTGTGATGAAAAGTCACGCTGAGAGCTCACAATATAAAGGAACGTTTAGTCCTGGCATGTATAAAAAAATGTGACTTTTATCTCTCTGTTCCACGCTTGTTAAATCAGAGATGTGAAAGGGAAACCCAGTCAGCTTCTCCCTATTGGGGCCATCCACAGGCCCAGACAGCAGCCGGACCCTCCACCCAACCCTCATCTGGCTGGGGGTCCACAAGCTGAGGTCATCTCTTCCTTCTAAGGGAGGAACCCCCTTTTCAGAAGATGGTTTCACTTTTCCAGAAAAATGGGTAATATTTAAATGTTCTAAAGAAACCAGGACCTTGCAGTGCAAAACAGTAGTAAACTGAATTTTATGAGTTTCTATCACAAGCATATAAAATGCTTTACTGAAACAACCACTGACCTGGAAAAACTCAGGAAAAATGACCTTGAATTCCATGTGAACACTCATAAATCTACCCCTTCCCTTTCTGTCTCCCCAAAGCACATGCCGAATAAAATCCATGTTCTACAGCAGCTTCCTCTCACCTCACAGCAACGCACAATACCATGTGCAGCCCAGCATGTGTGGACTGACTCAAGGTCCCCTGGGGAAGCTCTTTCCTGTGCCATCTAACATCACTAGGTGAGCAGATAGGGCAGGGCATAGGACAGACTCAGAACAGGGCTGGCCACAGTGAAGACATACTGGTCACAAGCCCCAAAGGAAAAAGAAAGGAAAAAGGTAAAAATGCAAAAAAAAAAAAAAAAGAAGAAGAAGAAGAAAACTGCATGGGCATCCTATTAAGAGACATTTGGGGCTGGGGATAGAGCTCAGTGGTAGAGCTTGTTCAATCCCCAGCACTGGGTGGGGGTGGGGGTATTTTGCAGTTATGAATAATGTTCATATACAAATGCAGACTCATTTTCAGGCTAGGCAAAGCTCTCACAATCTGCTACCATTTAATCGAATATTTTGATTGTACATAAAATTAGGCCATACCTACCTGGGACAAACCTAAATGAACAGAAGCCGTCTCGGATATATACATGATTTTGCCATCAGATGCTACCACAAAAACAAATCCATCCAAAGTCTGAAAAAGAAAACGTATCAGGGTAAGAGATGTTAGTTCTACACCAGCATTAAATCTAGAAATTTTGCTGTCACTGGGCTGGAGGTGAAGTGGGAGGAAGGTAAAAAGCTCAGTGGTGAAGTGTTCACCAGCATCCATGAGCCCAGCACTGGGGGAAAAAAATCAACGCATATTTGTTAAATTCAAAAATGAAGCCAGGGCCATGAGGACCACAGGTGACAACACTCAAGGTTTATTTCCCAAGCCAGGCTCTGAAATGCTTTTAAAGCACTTTAAAAACAATCTTACATCCACATCACAAAAATCATGTGAAACATTTGAGAATTCCTATCATGCTCAGTTTAAATGTAGTAGCTTTATTGTTTGGAGTTATTTTAGCACTTAGCACAAATCCGGAGTTCTATGGTACTTAGGGGAACATCCACTACTATATAGACCATTTAAGTCATAATTGGCAGTCATTTATACCACTAGGACATACTCTTTATTTGCCACAATATTCTAGTTACCCATAAGTACCATTTGAATAATAAATTCCGACCACTGCCGCTCCCCAGAAAATAAAACAAAATACCCGATTATTTTACCAGACAAAGTCTATAGAATTAACTATTTCAACTTGTAAGAGATTGAATAACTTTTGCCAAATTCAAGGAGAAAAAGTATCTTCTGAAAAATTAAAACTAACCAAACGAAATTCTGATTTTTACCTAAGCCCTCTAAAAATAAGGTAAAACTATAAGAGATAATTAAGACAAATAAAAAGGTAATGATTATTTTTCTGTGTCAAAGACTAAATTTTTGAAAAAGGAAACTGTACTTTATTTACTCATTCATATTTTAGATCCAGAACCAAAGAAAAGCAATAAAGTTTGTGAAAGACCCATACAATCCGCAGTGCAACTCCCATAAAAAAATATTCCAGATTAATTTCTGGCCACAAATTCTATTTTTACAGCATGTAATTGAAACCAGATTACCTTTGGGTTTTCAACCCCCACCCCCCTCTTGGAGGTGGGCTATAAAGAACGTAGCAGAAATGAAACTTGAAAGATATCCTTACATTCTGCTGTCTCAAATACCGTTTGCTGCAAAAATTCTTTGCTAACTAAATTATCACTACCTTTCCCTGTGCTAGGTTGAGACCAGCAACTTGATTATGTCTTACTTTCAGGTTTCTAACTCAGCTACAACACATTTTCCTAACAGAATCTGGGACATTTCAGAAATATAAACTATAAAGCAATTTCTAAAGTTACAGACACTTTGGTGTATTTTGCATAGTTGCTAAACTCTAAAACCATTAGAGACACATTTAACAAAACAGATCTCTTGCAACATCTAGGAAAACAAATAAAAGTGAAGAAATTATCATAATTAAATTCTAAACGTTGCCAGCAGTAGCTTAAAGAATAATATTCTTAATGGAAAACATGGAGTGTGCTTTCCTAGCTTCAATTACCTAATTCACTTACATGTATAATAACTGCAAAGACGACCATCCACACACCACTCAGGAATTAATTAAATGTAAGACCTCTGGAAGTGTTGACTTTGCCCACCAGACTTTCTCTGAAGTTCCCCTGCAAGCACTTAGTTGTCCCTGATATTAGTGTCACTTATAATGTGGACAGTATGAAACACGGAAAACATCCAACGCAAAGCTGGAAGGGAGGGCAGCCGGCGAGCCGAGGGCGTGTGGGCCAGGCTCCTAGAGAGCGTTACCTCGCCGGCTGCTATGCCACCGCAGTTCTCTCTAGTTGTGGAAGTTCCGGGTTTCAAATATTCCCCCATTCCCTTCTCCCTAACACATGTATTTTCAAAAACAAATCATTCCCAGGCATTTGGGGCAAAAGTTTTGAAAAGATCTGGTTTTTCAAAATGCAGACCTCAGTGACCCACTCGCAGATCTAAGTCACAATGCCCTGCAGCCAACATCCTACCCTCCCCCCTCCCCTTTTAATGGAAACACAAAATAGAGGAAATGCAAAATAGGTCTGGGTAAGCATTCTTCTAGGGGGGCGGGAGTGTTGGTGAATGAATCAGGTCCTTGATGAGGCTCTGTAAAGGACATTGCTGTCCTCTGCTAGCGCCAGATGCTGACTTGGAAGTGGACCCTGGTGCCCAGGTTACCCATCCCAAATTCAATACCGGGGTGCCTATCAGCGCTTCTATACTGCAGGGATAGAAAGCTGAGGTCCTGGCAGTATAGCAGTCTGGGACCAAAAGGCCGAGGACTGGAAGCGCAAAACGCCTGACCCCAAACCAAGAGACCAAGATGGGTGGTGATACCAGATGCTAAAGTAACCTTTTGAAAAGAAACCTGGTCTGTAATAAACTCTGCATAAGTGCCAACTGTTGCTGCTTCATTATTGATGCTGTGGTTTCATTTACGCATTCCTGCGCGCGCGCGCGCGCGCGCGCGCACACACACACACACACACACACACACTCACACTTGCTAAACGCTGCCACATTGTGGCTCAATGCTTCCTGATCGGTGCTTCTCTGGCTCTAGAGCCTGGCCCGGTGTCTGGTACAAACCGAAGTAAGGTTGAAAGGATTTAATCACGTTCAGGGGCGCCTTTCGGCCTAGGTCTGGGTGAGCTAGAAACTCTGGGGCGCTGGGAGGGAGAGGGATGCAGGGTGGGGCTGGGGCTGAGGCTGCACCCGACAGGCTAAGCATCCACGCTTGGGTTTTGACCCTCCCGGGCGGGAGCCACCCCCGCCCCTGGGACTTCTTCAGCTTGGGGGCGGCCTGTGGATTTGTGCCGCGCACCTCGAGACTCGGGTGGCAGGGTCGGAAGGGAGCCCCCGCCCGGGCATCTGCCAGGGCGATTGGCGGCGGCGGCGCTCCTCCCCCGGCGCGGTGGTTCTACCTGCAGCAAGTGCGATCCCAGCTCCTTGGCGACACTGTCCAGGGGCCCGGTGCGACTCGGTTGTCCCCATGCATCTCCTAAACCTGGACAAGGAAATGAAACAACCAGTAAACGGCCGCGTTCAGCAAGAGGCGGTGGCGCCATGCAGAGCGCTCAGAGCCTGCGCTCCCTTGCTCCTCGAGGCTGGAGCGTGCCCCTGCCGCCTCCTCTGCCCAGCATGCCGCAGCCTGTGCCCTCGCAGTCGCCCCTTTGCCCTCGGTTTAAAAGAAAAAGACCTGGGGAGGAATTCCCTTCGAGGTCTCCCGCAGAGTGCCCCTGCGCTCACTGAGCCAAGCGGGCGGACCGCTCCCGCGGGTCGCCCACGTGCTCAAGGCTCTGAAATTGCCGTTTTATTTGAAATGCCACAAAGTAATCTAATCTGCTTTGAAATTGGCCATCCTCGTAGCCGAACAGGGATATCGATTTGACCTGTAAACATTCCCCCAAGGACCTTCTCTTCCTCCCTTCCCAGGTGACGCCCGCAATTCTGCTTTTTCCCAAAGACAGAGAGCCTCAGACGGAAAGGCCCCGCCGTCCAGGGGCAGCTTTTCCCATATTAAAAAAAGAAAAGAAAAGAAAATGTCCCTCCCCTCCACGTTATCCCATAGTCTTCTCGGCTCTCACTGGCTTCCCGGAAGAGCTGTCCCCTTCCAAACTCAGAGCTTCGTGCCCAGGAAGGTTTACCTGGGGGTTTCCGGGGAACACGTTCCATATCCGCCAGCGGCGGGCGCGGGGTGGGCCCAGAGCCGGGAGAGCCCAGGGTAGGCTCGAAGGTAAAGGAGAGGGGGCGGTTCTCGCACAATCCAGAGCCCCTCAGTCCCTGTGCTTTTTAACCGCCTCATCCCCAGAACCTCCTGCTCTTCCCCACCACCTCCCCGACGGCCACCAGTGGTGCAGAAAATGCGTCAGGGGAATGGGGGCCCTGCGCATCCTCTTTCCCTTCGCGCTCGGGCCAGCCACTGTGACTGGGAGACTCCAGGCTTGCCTCTACCGACTCCAGACGAAGCCAGAAAGCTCCTGAGGAGGGCGCAAAGAGGGATAGAAGAACCTTTAAATTTCCCCAGAATCCTTCCGTTAGGGGCCTTGCCTGGGGACCCTCCGGTTAGCACCTGGGCCTCCGCACCAGGAGACAGAGGCCAGTGACCGCCATCTCCACTTGCGCCCTAGCCTCCTTAACCTTCCTCTTAGAGAATACGCCCTCGGGCTTTCTCCCTACTCCGGGAGCTCCCATTTCGGCTCCGACCCCTTCAGGGTTTACACGTCCTCCCGGAAACCGTGGGCCGGACCCAGATCGCGCCCTTGAGTGCGGGACTCTAGGTCAGGAGTCGGCTGAACTAGGCGGGAAGCGCTGGGCTGAAAACCTGGTCAGCTGCAGTGAATCCAGTGTGGTTCCCTAGGCGGCAAGTCCTCTCTAAACCGGGAGCCTGGCATGAATTCCCGGAGAGTCGCTGCGCTGGCACCGTGGGTCTCCTCTCTGACTCTGTGGGAGTCCGGGGCATCGTGGCTTCTAGAGGCCTCCACCCAGGAGGCTGAAAACGCAGCTCGAGGCCCAGGAGTGTGGCTTTGTAGATCCTTCTTGGAAACAGTTCGGCAACTAGAAAAGGGATGACCTTTCATTTCTCCTCCTGGACTCTAAGAATCAGAGTTCATCCCGGTCTAATAAGGAAGTGGTCAACTTCCACTTATCCTGACATCCCCCCCCCCCAAATAAAACACGCTGGCAGCTTTTTAATTCTTGGCCCCTAAGCCACCACTGGGTGAGGGTAGGTAGCTCTCTAACCCCAGGAGACTGCTCCCACCCCCAAGCATCCTGATCCTACCAGGGCACCACTTGCCCTCACTCTCAGGCTTTTCCTGCCCCACACCAGGCAGGAAGCATGGTAGGGGCAATAGAAAGAACCAAGATTTAAAACCAGTGGGACCTGGATGAAGAAAGAATTTAATAAGAACGTAGGAAATCCGATTTCCAAAAACGAACAAATGTGCCTTGTTACTGTCCTCCTCTCCCCTGACTCAGAGTCCTTCCAGGTCCCTGGAGCTGAAGCAGCCTTGGCCCCAACACAGTGCCCAAGATGAGCAGGGCCTCCTGGCCTTTAGCTTCTTGCAGGGTCAGTGGTCCAAAGACCTGGACTAAACTTTTGGTCTGTGGGAATGGCCTCCAGACCTGGCTCCACTGGCACAAATGTTTCAAAGCCTGCTGAAGGCTCTGGCTCTCCATGAAGCAGTGTGCTAACTAGTTATAGATTTTTCACATTATTCAAATATTCAAATATCTGAGAGATCTTATTCTCCTATATCACTATAATTTTTCAGAAAGTTCCCATGCCTCTATTGTGCTGATGGAGATTTCGACTGCCCTTCAGGATCCTGGCTGGAGGTAGCTAGGCATCACCAAATGGTTCCCCCAAGCACTCCCCACCTAGGCACCACCTCACCCTAAGGCTCTGCCAGCTCTTCCATTAGGAACTGCTGTGGTGAGTTCTTTTTTCCCCTCAGCCCATAAAAATATACTTTGGGCTGAAGCAGAGACTGAATAAAGTAAGGTTTGTAATGAAAAGCATCCTCTTGGTAATAGAAAGCCATATACACTCCTGAAAAAGTGAAGCTTTAGGCATGTGGCCCTTACCTGGACCCAGGAAAGGGATTGGTTTATTTATTTGAAAAGTGGGGGTGGGGTAGAGTTGAAGTCTGGGCTAAGCTCCTTCAGGGTTAGAAGTTGGTGAGCTGTTGGTGGTATTGACTGCTTTCAGAGTTGAGACCTGTTGTTTCTCAGCCCCCCAGGTTGGATTTCCCGGATCCTGCCTGCCTCCACAGGACAAGCTGGGGACCTCTGGCCACTGGCATTTAAGGATGGCCAGGGAGAAACCGGGGCTGCTAGGTCAGGGCAAAAGGGAATCAAGCCCACATGCCCCACTTCTGCCAGTTAGCCTTTAGGTACCTCCTTTCCTGCTTGCTCCCAGGGTTTACGGGTACAGGGTCTGTTTTCACATGCTGCCTGTCCTCTGGTTTAACCCCCACAGACTTGCTGTCTGCAGAAGCCACCTAAATATGGTTCCTGTTCTCTGATTAGTCAGCAAACAGCTCATGAGCAACTGTCCTGTGGGGCTTCAGTCAGGCTCTGGGGGTATCTCTGGATGCAGGTCACAGACCATAAACATGGGGCTGCAAAAAGAATATGATTTGGAGAGAAAGGGAGATTGCTTTCCCGCTGTGAGGTTTTAATCTGCTTTGCTCAGATGAGAGGACATCCAGGTTTCTGTCCTTCCTTTGGACTAGCCAGAAGGATGCCTGTGGGTCTGGATGCCGAGAGCTAGGGCCTGGACTTAGGTAAGAACACTAGAGTCAGACCACCATTCTCTCACCTCCCTACCGGACAGAAAGACTTCCCCAGGACTCCTGTGAAAATTGAATGGGGCTAAGAACAGGGAGGCGGCTGTCCCTGCCTCCAACCTCCACAGGAACATTGGATAAGGGTATAAAAATCTAGGACAGTTGAGGAAGTCCCCGTGTCTCACCTCCTGGGACTCGCCTTCTGTGGTTTAGAAGGCAACTTGGCCAGGCCGCAGGGCCTGATCTCCAGTCAAAGCCCCGACCTCTAACCTTTATTTCTTGCCTCTAAAATAGGATTGTTTGGGGATTCACTGAGCCCGGCTAAAGTGAGGCCTCGCTGTTTGTGGCTACTGCCATCCCTTTGTCTAGCCCACTCCTTCGCTGCCTCCAGCCTCCCCTCCTCCAATTATCACCTCCCTGGGGGAGGGGGGGAGGGTGTGTCTCTGGGGGAGCGCGACCTCTTGCCCTTGGAGGGCCAGATCTGAGGATGCAAGGTCACACATACTCATAGCAAACCACTCCAAAGTCTAGTAGGGTGTGTGGGGGCGGGAGTAAGAAACGGCTTGATCCTCTTGCTCCTCCACCCAAGCACAGGCTGCGGAGGCAGAGTCTCAGCCGGTCACCCCACGGCGTTTCCAACCGCAGTCCCTGCGCAGCGGCGGGCTCTGGTAGCTCTCTTCCAGGGCTAACGGGTCTCGTCAGTTTGTGCTGGGAGGAGTTTGGGGCTGGGTACCGCCTTGCTGATCCAGTAGAACCCATAGTTTGCACCTCTCTGGACACCACGATCCGTGTACATTCTCAGGGGTCGCGGACTTCTCCAGCGCACAGGAGTTCTTCTCAGTCCTGGAATCTTTCTGTTCTCTTTGGGGTCCCTGGAAAATTCGCCGTCGAGCGACCCCTGTTCACATCAACCAGGGATCAGGTGTGAAGGGGGTGGTGGTAGGTAGAGACGCTCCCCAAGAAAGTCTCCTTGCGGCCGACGGGGGAAAGGAGGGGAGACGGCTTCCAGCCTGGCGGGCCAGCTGCGAACGAGCGTTGCGCGTGCCCTGAAGACCCCGCGGCCCCAGGACGGAATACGTAGGTCCTGAAAGTGCGAGATGGAGTCCCAGCGGCCGCGGGTACCGAGCCGCGCGCCGCACCCAGAGCCGCCCGGCGCTCCCCGGCGAGGCTTCCTTTCCGCGCCGCGGAGCTCCAGGGTCGGGGTCGGGGTCCGGGGCTCTGGAGCGCAGGGGCTGGATCTGCAGCCCGCGCGCTCCGGTTACTCGCTCCAGGGCCTGTGCCGCGCGCGGCCCTGCCGACAGTGAGCTTTGCCTCCCGAGCCCTAGGCCTGGCCCACTTCAAAGTGAGAGGAGGGAGGGTTGTGAAATCTTCGTCACTCCAAAAAACGAGTCCATTAAAAATAACCTACGTGATTTCGGGCTGCGGTACAGGAAGATCTATAATGCCATGTTGGCATAGGGTGACTTTTTCCTCACCAAACCCTCGGAATCAAATCGTTTAAATCCAAGAAAATTATTCCACAGTTCGTGCGCTTCCTCCCCGCGGAGCTCAGGTGTGCGGGTGGGGGGTTAGCCGGCTGCCTGCAACTGAATTCAACCCAGTCACCGGGACAATTCAGGCCTTAATCCCTTCCCCCCTCCACACACCCTGGTTCTGGGTCTTCAGCTTCCCACTTCATTCCTGAGCCGGGACCAGAGGCCAGTCCCTCGTCCTAGCTAGCCGTCGGTGTGCAAGGTCCGGGAGGAAACGCCACCCTTTCCTCATCGCTTGTCCTAATCGGGACTCCTCGAGGGAAATCGAATCGCCCAAGTTGGCCCTCGGACCCACGGAAACTACCCTGCGTCCTGGCGAGTGTGTTCACAGTGCAGTTACGGCCAGGAAGCACCCACAGGTCTCTTGCCTCGGTACATCTGCGGTTTCCAAGAAGCCTCCTTTCCGGAACCCAGGGAGGGGCGCAGGCGACCCTTTGCACTCCATCTCTGCCGCAACCCTAGGTTTATCTGCTTTCCAATTACTCGCTAAAACTCATCCAGTGTTCAATTTTCAGCCCGCATTCCAAAGCCGACCTTGCTCTCTCCTGCCCTTACCCACCCTATCTACCTCCCACTTCTTAGTTCTATGTTGAAGGGGAGAAAAGGTAGCCACCCAGAAAGCCGCAGATATTTAGACTCAGGGCAGTGATTTCCTCGGCGACTGCCATTTAAGCCTAGCCTGGTCCAGGAAACACCCGGAGTCTACAGCGACTGGTAACCAGAGTGGACTGCCACCTATGACAAGGTTCCACTGTGCACCTGTATGGGTGTGGAGTCGGTAATGGGCCGCTTTACAAAGAGACCGAGGCCTACCAGGGCAGGATGACAGAGCCTCCTCCGTCCCAAATGTAAAAATTGAAAGATTTCCCCAAATCTGAGAATTGGCCTGCCAACATGTGTCTGCCTTGGTTTCTGGTGCCTCCCTCTGCCCTGGTGTGGGACCTCTGAGTTTCTCTTCCTGGTGGCCTCTTCAGTGCAGAGGCAGGAGGATATACAGCAACCGGCTGCCTCCGCAGTTACTGTCCTACTCCTCCCCTGCTGCAGCGCCTTTGGGAAGGCCAGTTTCCTCTCTGGCCTCAATTTCCCCAGATATGAAGGGTTCCTGATGATCCCACCGGTCCTTAAGACTGTGCCATTCATTTTCTGCATCCCAAAGTACTAAATTGGTCTCAAAAGTTTTCTTTACCCAGGGATCCCACCTGCTTCAGGCAAATGGGTCCACTCTATATCTTTTATTTTCAGCCAAGAGCTGTAAGCCATCTCAGAGCTCTGGTTGATACCCAGACTTGCTCTGGCTCTAAGACCTCCGTGGGGTCATTGTCCTGACCCCAGCAACTCAGCAGGGCCCCAGCAGCCTGGGTGCTTCAAGAACTCGGGTTAAATCAATGAAGGTCCCCTGCAGGGGTGGGGGGGTGGGGGGTGGGAGCGGATTCAAAGCCTCTGAGGGCAAGGGAGTTATTTTGATGGTGGAGTTCTTCCTAATTGCAACTTCTCTTTGCCCTATGCCCTGAGCTTCCCAACTCCTTAGACCCGGACTGGACTTGAGGGGAGTAGGCGTTGCAGCCCAAAGCTTCAGGTCCCAGACATGAGCAGTGGGACAGTGCTTGAGATGGCATGGCTCCCCTTCCTGACTTCAAGAAGTGTAGTAGGAAGGGATTAGGCCACTGCCCCCTTCCCCGAGTTGTACCCTATGATTCAGGATCATTTACAAAATCTAGAGCCAACCTCCAGGATCAAAACCCAGGAGATGCAGGTGGCCCCTTGAGTAGGCAGCTCCTGAACACAGCACTGGCAGCAGTTGCTCAAGGCATCAACCCCAACAACACCACGCGGTCCCACAACAAGGGGCAAAGTCTTCAGTCATTCTGGACCCAAAGGCCTGATGATGTGCTTCCCTGGTTACATACACCCCACAGATATTTAAATGTCTGCTGTGGCAGCACATCTGCCACTTTTCAACATTTTAGCAAACTTCCCTGGAAATCCCTAAAACAACGAATAGCTTAAAATAAGCCCTTTTCCCCAGATCGCTCCTATTAGTTAACTTCTGGTTTATTAGAAATCTTTGGCAACAAACAACTCTTCAGATAATTTATTCTCCCCCGCCCCAAAAGAAAGGTGGGAAGAGAGAGGACAGAGGATAGAAGCCCATTACCCTGCCTGCTTTGTAGCAAGCGGATTAGACGCATCCCAGCAAACCAGCTAACACTACTCCCCGGGTGGAAAGGAGACTCGACCCTTATAAACCTAATTCGCTTCTAATGTCCACCGAAACTTCAGCTGGAAAGGAATCATTTCTACTTCTGTAGCCAAGGACTCATCGCTGGGCCGACTAGTAGGAAACACCGCGGTGAACAACTCCCAGCGAAGGAAGGGGCTGGGGAGAGGTTCTCCGCGGATCGGACTAGGAAACGCAGGAACGTGCGCTAGGCCCCAGCCCAGCAGGTTCAGGGCTTCCGCGCACCGGAGGAAAGCGCCCTTCGACCGCGGACCGCGCGGCCAGGCTGGGAGGCTCCCGAGAGGCCCAGCCACCGCTTCCGGCCGCTCAGCTCCCTAGGGCTCCGGGCTGCTCCGGCGCTTGCTCCGGACCCGGGCCGCCGCAGGACTGCAGGCCGCAACTGCCGACAAGGCCCGCTGCGCTCCACGAGGAAGACCGTGGAAAACGCAGCTGCAGACCCAGAAACGATCGCAAATAACACGTTTGGAGGCGCCGAGCGCAAAAGCTTACCGGGTCGAGTGCCGGGCCGCGGATGATATTAATGGAGGCGCCCTGTGGCCGAAGGACACCTGTCGCCTGTACTGCAGCGACCCTCCAGTGCCCTGCAGCTGAAGTGGTCTCTTTACTACGAAGTCCTCTCGTGTGGCTCCAGGGCCTGGATATCCTGGGGCGCCCATCAGAACCCTGAACAGTGCCCTTCCCGGCAGTGTCCGGGTCCCTTGGGGGTGAGATCCCAGACCTGCTGTTTGGAGGTCTGGCCGGGTGGCCACAGTCCCGGGCGGAGGCCGACGTGTGCGTGCTGGGAAAGCCCATCCAGCACGCCACCATTTCTTACAATCTCTGCCTGACGGTGTGTCCTCGTCCGCCAGTAGTGTATTTTCAATCCTAAAAGAACTGCTAAGCTCTGCCCTGCCTGCCATTTTCGAAATAATTACCTTTCTCTTCGCGGGTGTTTCAGCTCACCAACCCGCGATCTCTCCTACCCGAACCTCCGAACCCCAGAGGACTGGGAGGGCAGCACGAGAGACCGAGGACCTGACTCCCACGAGTGCTCGGTGGCTGTGGCCTCACCGAGCACCCTGCTTGCTTGCTCTCTTTTCTCCAGAAAGAGAAGGAGGGATGAAGGCCCGGAAAAGAAACGGGAGCTGAAGAAAGAAAGAAGAAAGGAAGAAGGGAAAAGAGGTAGGTAAATAAGAAGGAAAGGAGTAAAGGAATAGAGAAAAAAATAAGAAAACAAAACACACCAAACCAGAGCAGAAGGAGGTGGGGGGAGAGAAAGAGAAAGGGAAGGAGGAGGAGGAGGAAGAGGAGAAGAAGGAGAAAGAGAAGGAGAGGAAAGAGACGGAAGAAAAAGAAGACGAAGAAGAATTTTTTTAAAATGGAAAGGAGGAGGAGAAAGAAGAGAGGAAAAGAAAACAAAACTAAAATAGATTCACAAAGAAGAAAGAAAAGAAAGGATAGGCGGGAGGAAGGAAAGGAGGAGCAGAGGGGGAAGAAGGAAGAGAGAGAGAGTAAAACCTGAATGGAACAGCATGCCAACGCCAACTGGGGACCGCCGGTCCCTGGGACAATCCTTGGTTTGCCGCTCCCCTGAGCCAAGAGATGGTTTGGTCGCCTGGGCCGTGGTGGCCCTGGCCCCTCTCCCCGAGTCTGCGTCCCAGCTGAAGTCCCCAGCTGGCTCGGCCCTCCCAAGACACCCGAGTATTGGCTGGGAGACCTCGATGGCCCATCTGGGCCGGCTCCTGCAAGGGCCGAGGCTGCCTAACTCCCCAGAGTTCCCGGCCGCCCACCTGCGGCCTCACCTTCAGGGAAGACCGCGCGCATCTTCAGGTAGCTCGTGGTGAGTCGTATGATGGACGCTTTGTCCAGCTGCGAAGTGATGGCCGATGGCAGCGGGAGCAGCTTGGCCAGCTCATAAAACTCGCCATTTTCCTTCTCCCTCCTGGTTTTGGCCGCATTCTTGGACTTCTCCTTCATCGCGCCTCGGCTCTGGGCATATTAGACCTGGCCGCGCTCCAGGCCCGCGGAGTCCCGCTCAGGCTGCGGCAGCTGGGACCGGGAAAGGGGACCCGGGGGCCAGGTGAATCCCGGGTGCCGGCCACGGACAGGTGCGCCGGACCGGCCTGGGCACCGAGGAACTTCTCCGCAGTTGCCAGCCCAGAGCTCAGCGCAAACCAGCTGCGCCGCCCCGCGCTCCGCCTGCGGCTAGAGCTGGACTGTTCCGCGGCGACCCGAGCCCTGCTTCCTGTTCACTCTTCTTGCCTCCTGTCTCCCCGGCCTCAGCTTTTCTTAGGGTATAAGGGTCCAGCGAAGAGGCGGTGGTGCAGTTTAGTCCTTAACCGGGTGTTGGCACTCGCCGCCGCGAGGCCCCTCCGATCTGGAGGGCGGCAGGGGCGGCGGTGGCTGCGGAGCCATGGAGCGGACCCGAGCCGAGGGGAGCTAGACCGAGACGGCTGGGCCGGACCCAGGCCTGGGCGCGCTCTCCTGCCCTCTCTGGTTGCTCCCTGTGCCTGAAGACCCCGCGCCGGAGTCCGCGATCTGTTGGGAGGCGCAGCTGCTCCGCAGTCCACGTGCGACCGAGCACCGTTTGTTTATGGCGGACCCGCCTTCGGGCGGAGCACTGGGCCGCCTGGGCCCGGGACGGGGGGGGGCAGGCAGGGGGAGGGACCGCGGCGGGGGCGGGGGCGGCGATTCTCGCCTCCGACCCCGCCGCGGCCCTGGAGTCACGGGCGCGCCTCCGCGTCTCTACCTCCAGGGACTGTCCCGAGAAAGACGGGCGCGCTCCCGGGCTCGGGGAGATCGCGGTGAGTGAACGCTGCGCGGCGAGGAGACCCGCTCTGGAGAGGGAGTCGCGGGACGTGGGCGTTAGGATGGGCTGCGGGGTGGGGCGAAGGAGTAACGAGGGAGGGGTGCCGAGGCCTCTTCTGTGGTTGCCCGGCTGGTCACCGGCGGGCGCGGCCAAGAGGAGGCGGCGCGACCCGGCGGCCAAGTGCCCTGTGGGGAGGATCGAGGCCTCCAAGTCCGCGCTGGTCCCACGCCCTCCTCCTCAGTTCCGCGTGCGGAAAGGGGTGCCCAGAGGGAAGATTCCCCTCCCTACACGCTCCGAAGTCACTCTTCTGCCCTTTCTCTCCTGGAAACTCCGGAGCGAAAGGACATTGACACTTTTCTGATAGGAGCGGGAGACCGCCGGGGCGCGCGAGCCAGAGGGAGGGAAGGGTCGGGGAGCCCAGCCCAGCTGCGAGGCCTCTCCGGGGCGCCGGCGGGAACGGGGCCCAACTGCCCTGCCTCCAGCAGCCCAGAGCAGTCTCGCAGCCTGATCCAACGCAGCCTAAATTTCGGGGAATCGCTTTTGGGCGGACGTTTCATGGAGAGTGTCACCGAGCTAGGGCCACTGGGAGACGTTGGTGGGACCCGTGGTGGTCGGCCGAAGGCAGTTGGAGAAGGGAGGCGCTGTTGAAGACGCGCGGGCACTGGGAACACACGCTCTCCCGCAGGGCCACACTAGACCTTATAGTCACATCCCGCCTCTCCTCCCCAACTCGGTTCGCTCCTTCGTGCTCCTGCAGTCAGGGATAAGCACTAGTCCTGGGCCCGCGGCACAGCCCCGCCACTGCCATCTCCGAAACCCCCCCTCCTTCCTGGAGTCTGAACGCCCCAGGACAGTTCCGTTGCCAGCTTCCCTGCTTCACCGGGTCAGGGACAGGCCAGAGGGCAGTTCTTACTGGGTGTCTGGGCCCTTAGGGAGCTCTTGGCACTGTGCTAAAAGCTGTAGAATTATGGGGCCGTGAGGCCCCCGATCTCGAGGTGGGCACCGGTTAGGAGGTGGACGGGGATGGGGGATAGGTAGGTGCCGCCGCTCTACCTCCGGCCGGGAGGAGTCTGCTGCTCTCACGTTCCTCTCCAGCTTCCGGCTACCGTGCCTGCAGTAGACGCTCTGACCTTTTCCCGGACCCCTTTGAAGGTCCGAAGTTTGGAGGCGTTGGAGGAGATGTGGGTTCCCTCCCTTGGCTTCATAGTATAAACCTGGTCTGGGCATCAGCCTGCCCAGTCCTGCTAAACCCACTGTGGCCAATAGTCTTAGGAATGGTGCTGGGAAACCGCGAAGCTGCACGAGCCAGGAGCGCAGTGGAACCCGCACTTTCCTTTGGTGTTTCGGATCTAGGCACGCCGTCCAGTTTTCAGCGGTGCGAGTGGAGAGTTGGGGCCGCGCGTCAGCGGCGCTGGTCCGCAGGTGCCCCAAACAGGCGTCCGCGGCCCACTTCCGTGACCAGAATCCCGCGCCGCGCGGCGCTGTTGACTGCCTGGGGCCTCGCAGAGAAGGGGCTCCAAGGGCCGGGACTGCGGACCGGTCCCGCCACAGCTTCTTGCAGGCCTCCCTCCCAAGCGCACTCTAGCACTTCCCAGGCTTCGGGAGGATTTTACGCTTCTCTCACCCCCACGATTTCCAACCCTCAATTATGGACTCGGGAGAATTCCTCCCCGGCTTGAAGGGGATTACCTAGATCGCAGAAACATGGCTAAGTGGAAGTGGGAGAAACCCGACGAGTAACAAGAACGGAAATTTTGCTCAAACCAAATTTCCCAGATTTTACCGGAAAGCGCACTTGAGCTCTCCAGACCGGGTTTTTACAGTGGCAGCCGCTGTTTAGGCACCTTCAAGACAGGATCAAATCGCCTCCTTTGAGTGGCAGCAAAATGGGGCGTTTGAAACCTCTAAGATATCAGGGTGTGGGAGGCTTCCAGGCCCAAAGTCGGCCTCAGCAGATGCCCAGCAGGCACAAACATTCTTTTTTTTTTTTTTAATTGGTTGTTCAAAACATTACAAAGCTCTTGACATATCATATTTCATACATTAGACTCAAGTTGGTTATGAACTCCCAATTTTACCCCAAATACAGATTGCAGAATCACATCGGTTACACATCCACATTTTTACATAATGCCCTATTAGTAACTGTTGTATTCTGCTACCTTTCCTATCCTCTACCATCCCCCCTCCCTCCCCTCCCATCTTCTCTCTCTACCACATCTACCGTAATTCATTTCTCTCCTTGTTTATTTTCCCATTCCCCTCACAAACATTCTTTCAGGGCACACATACACACACAACTGGCTATGGGCCTAGAGTCCCCCGACAGCATGATCGAAAGTACCACAAGTACTTGGGCAGGAGTCTTGAGGTTTCCCAAGCCGAAAGGATAGTGATAGTAACGTGGAATAGTGAAAGGAAAAAATCCCAGTCTCTGGTTGGGGCCGTCCCACGGCTCTCCCTACCTGGGTTAAAGACTGAGGCCCTCAGATCAGAACAATTAGGACAAAACCCAGACAGTCCTAGATGTGAGACAGTATGAAGTTAGAAGCTTTGCTTAAACTTGGTATAGCAGTGAACAAGTGCTAATTGGAGTAATTAGGAACATCCGGTGGTGACCTTAAGTTGGACACCTACTACGTGTCCCTCACTCTTGAAGAGTGGTGAGAGATTCCTGGTTCACACATTTGACCAGCTCATGGCCCCAGGAGAGGCACAGATGCAGTGAACCCCACCTATCAACCCCAGTCCAGGGTATCACCAGAACCGCTGTTGGCCTACTGGCCAGGAAGGAAACTGTAGAGGGCAGGTAGCAAGAGGGGTCTCCGCAAGATGTGGTCCATAGCTTCCCGGGAGCTGCCTACTTGCAAGGCACCGTGCTCCAATCTTCTGGGCCCCGGAGCATGCCCTGTGGTACCCCATCTCTTAGAAATTTTCCACTAGGAACTGATCTGGTCGAAATTCAGGCCCCAAAAGGAAAGGGGCGGTCCCAGGCCGCCCCACATCTGTTTGGATTTTCCGCTTCAGATGCTCCGCAACTGTTCTTCCCCAGGCGGCCCCGGCGCCTACCTGAGAAGCCCATCTCCAGCGGAAACCGACTGTCGCGTGAGATCAAGGGGGACGACACGCAGATGTTCCGCGGGGAATGGGTTCCAGAGAGGCTGCTGCAATGGCAGATCAGAGACCTGGTTACTAAGGTTGGGGTGGTGTGTGTGGGGGGGGTACCCTCCATTACAGGCACTGGATTTCGAACCTCTACCAAAGTAGAGTTTAAAGAGAACTTCAGCCCCAGAGCAAGCAGAGGCAACAGGAAATTCAGAGCTGCCGAGATGCAATCCTATGTGATTTATAAGCTCTTGTCTACACAGGCAATTAGTACAATGTGGTTACTTCAGAAACCCCGCTTGTGGTCCAGCATCACATATATGACTTTCACGTCTGGCAGTATTTTCTGGTCTGAGTTTCTGAAAGAATACCTTGAGTTTTCACTGCTTTCCGTGTGTAAGCCCCATGGAGACATCACCAGCTTTCTTTGGGGTCATTGCTACTCCAAGAAAGGAGCATAGGACCATTGCAAAATTAATATAAATTAATCATGTACAATTAATTACAGGTAGCCAGAGCCATTACCTAATAATTTATTCCTCTAGAGGTCAAGGCAGTAACTTGCTCTGCTCACTCCTTCTAAAGTAATTGAGGGACAGAAGTTTCTCTTTTCAGTTTTTTTTTTTTTTAATATAGTAACTTCTTTTACTGGAAGTTACTCCTTTGGAGAAAATGTTTGGTTTTAGGTTGGTCGGGGTAACTGATTATCTGATTCCATCGCAGTAATGTCATGCAGATCCTCCTTTCTGCACTGGGTCCAGGGACTGGTGGCTGGGGAACACCAAACTGGGACAGCAGTTCCCTCTCCCCAAGGAGAGAAAGCAGGAGAGGGCAAAAAGGCCTGAAAGCAGGGAGATTATCCCCACCTCCAGGGTGGCCTGTGGGGGCTGGGATGCTTGAAATGGACTCAGCTCTCTGGGATTCTGGGAGGAAAAGCCCTTCTCTTTGGACTTGGTTGTCCAGAATGACTACTGATTCCTGGGATAAGGTGGGGTGGGTTGAGGGGGGCCTCAGGCTCTCTTAAGGGATGCATTGGGGGATCAGAAACAGTTATTGCCACTGGTAATTAATTATAGCTATCAGAAAATTCCCGAGAGAAGACCACAGGGAGTTACAGAAGCCCCGCCTGGTTTGGGTAAACGGCAGCCACGGCACACTTTTCTTTTACCTGAGATGAGGGATGAGCCCTTTCCTCTGCATTTTTCTTTCCAAGCTCAGTTCTACTTTCTCTTGGGTATCTAAGAAGGTGGGGGTGGGGGGCTTTTGCACTTTGCGCTGACGTGCTCACACACACACCTCCTGACCTCCAGGAAGGGCAGGTTCTTTTGGGGGGAAATGGCTGTTCCCATCTCTTGGAACTGCGCTCAGAGCCGGGCTCTTCCGAATGGAGACAGGGCAGAGCAGAAGTCCCCGCAGACATCCTCCCACCTGCCCTCGACCTGCCGCTTTCTCCCAGACCGTTATTGGTCCATGTTAATTTTAATGAAATCCCGGGTTAGGGAGAGGCAGCCCGTCTACTCTCCACCAAAGCCCTACTTTCTTCTAGAAACAATCCCCATGGCTTTCAGGGAGCTCGGAGTCGCTTCTGGAAAGCCTTGAGCCAGAGGCCTCTTAGTCTGGTGTGTACTGAAAGTCCTCGGTGGTTACATCAATTACACGTCGCCTCGAAATCTCAAAACCG